CACCTAAACTCAGTGTAGTGTATCACCCACATAGCTGTTAGTCAGACAAGGAAAAACATAAATTTCCAAATTAGTAAAGTGACTCTTTTTGCTTTGATCAGTATAGTAGTGACTTGTTAATTATTCAGTTATCAATCAACTCACTGTCTTTACCTCATCGTGATTTAAGACTCCATCAGAGGAAAAAGAGAGAAAGTTAATGAACAGCAATGAAGGGATGGCTGGGCCATAACTCAAAAGTAAAGCATTACCTGATGTGTTCAAAGCCCTGATTGATCCCCAGCAAAATACACACACACACACACACACACACACACACACACACACACACACACACACACACACACACCACAGCTAGAGATCTTTTGAGGAAGGGGGTGCAGGTTAATAATCCCAGGGCTGCAAGCCTGGAGGGTCAAGAATTCAAGACAACCCAGAGCTACAGAATAAGACTACTAAAGAAAAAAAAATCCATAGTACCAAGACAAAATCAAAGAGAAATCAAAAAGAAGTCTGTCTTAGTGAGGCTTTATTGCTGTGATAAAACACCATGACCAAAAGCAACTTGGGAAGAAAGGTTCTGATTCATCTTAAAACTCACAGGTCACACTCCATCACTGAGGAAAGTCAGGGCAGGAATTCAAGGCAGGAACTAAGAGGCAGGAGCTGAGGCAGAGGCCACTGAGGAGTGCTGCCAACTGGCTTGCTCCCCATGGTTTCTTCAGTCTGTCTTCTTATACCATCCAGGGCCACCTTCCAGAGCTGGCACTGCCCACAATGGGCAGAACCTCCCATATTAATCACTGATTTAAAAACTGCCCCACAGGCTTGCCGACAGCCCAGTCTTGTGGAGGTAGATTCTCAGTTGTGGCTTCCTCCTCTCAGACAACTCTAGCTTGTGTCAAGGTGGTAAGAAACCAACCAGAATGAGGTCATAAATTGAAAACAGGATAACAAAGAGCAATAGAAGTTGAAAAAGACAAAAGTCTAGGAGAGATGGGCACAGTAGCAGTGAGAAGTGAATGGGATCTAGTGAGGCCAAGTCAGTTTCTGCCTAGCTTCGATTATGAAGGACCCAAATCACAACATCTAACACGTTCAATTCTTAGAATTAAGACTTCATGCTGGGCGGTGGTGGCACACACCTTTAATCCCAGCACACAGGAAGCAGAGGTAGGCGGATCTCTGTGAGTTCAAGGCCAGCCTGGGCTATAGAGTGTGAGTTCCAGGAAAAGTGCCAAAGCTATGCAGAGAAACCCTGTCTCGAAAAACAAAAACAAACAAACAAAAAACAAAACAACAACAAAAAACCCAAAAACAAAAAACTTCATATAAGACCAATGCACACAATTACTGTTGGCTATAAATACTTGGGAAATTATAACAACTAATGTTGTTGAGCATTGAGATTCTGGAATATAACATGGTAATTAATATAAAAGATAAACCAATTAGGAAAATGGGGATTAAAAAATAAACCAGTGTGTGCCTAGGGTTGCAGCTCAGTGGTACTGTGCTTGCCTAGCTGAGTTCAGCCCTCATGCCCATCCCCTCACTACACACACACACACACACACACACACACACACACACACACACACACATTAGTGCAAGACAATGTCTTCTTACGGCAGAAACCTTTAAAATTTTATAGTTATCGATATTTTCTCACACACGATTATTTTACAGCATTCAGTGACTATAACTATAGTAAAATAGAATTAATGATACTGCTAGCTAAATTAACCTTGAAAATTAAATCCAGGGAGCAATTTTATTTGGGAAAGGGGTACAAGTAAAACAGAATTTATAATGGCAAGTGTGGTTAAGTTTATATTTCTATAAAATACTCTGTTGGCTAGTTGTGTTTGTTGTTATTTATTGTTGTAATAGTTGGCATTACCCTTTCTAAGAGGCTGAGAACTCCAAGTGAACTCATTCTTACATAGATTTGAAACTAATTTCCATTACTATGCAGCAGCTGAAGATCTGCTACCAAGGACTGTGCAATTAAGAATTTATCATTGGGCAGTTGAGTGCAGAGTTTTTAGAGGCCTCTGTGGGCATTTCCTTAGATAAGTGTTTGTTGTTAAGTAGTTGGTGATTCTTCATTGGGTGCGAGGGAATGGAAATAGATAACAACTTGATGATTTTTATTTTAATCTGAGGTGCTATCACTTGGAGAGAATTAAAAAACACCGAAAAGGATGTAGATATACAGTTGACCTTTGGCTGTTGGTGAATGCATGGTGGTCCTGGGCGGGCATCTAGATACTACATTTGAGCCAGGCATGGTGGTACACATGCTTAATCCCAGAACTCAGGGGGCAGAGGCAGGAGGATCTGGAACTCAAAGTAATCCTTGGGTGTATAATAGTGAGTTCAAGGACACCATCAAGTACATAAGACTGTCTCAAAAAGTCAAAATGTCTGTGTTTGGCATGGGAGTCCAGCTCAGTGAAGAGCACTTATCCAGCATGCATGAAACTTGAAGTCAATGCCCAGCACCCCCACCCCCCAATCACCTCTGTGTTGTTTTTTTTTTTCTAAAATCCCACTCACAACTCTCAAAATCTCCTTTAAATTAAAATCTTTGCCTCAGTGTTACAATATCACCAACTGGTCTAAAGCAGGATCCTTTCCCACCCCTGGATAACTTAGATCCTATACCCCAACATGGATGCCATCATAAGTTCCCTGATGGACTTGGTTTTAATGATGCTATTTGCTGAGTCAAAGCAACTGAAATTATAAAGGAGCTCCATATTATTTCCTTCAAGACTTAGCTCATCTTCCTGAGCTTGAGACCCAGAATAAGCAAAACTGCTCCAGAACCCCAAGATGCATTTTTCACCCTAGATATTTCAGTTGAGACCCATTCTCTTCAATGAGCATGCTGGTGGGAAACATGTGATGGAGCCCAGTGCAGTGCCTGAATCATGTTCTCCAAGACTGCCACAGTAGGAGGCAGCCGGGTCCTTCCATGTCTGCAAAACATGTCAAGCCAGAGCCTCTTCTATGTTGATATTGAAGCCCCTTAGAGGGCTCTCTAGGACCCTTCACAATAACCTTGTGTTCCTTCAGGGTTATGATGACATGTTCTAGAGTGTGATAGTCAACAGGAGATACAGCAAAAATCAAAACTCTTTCTCTCTCTCTCTCTCTCTCAAAAAAAAGAAGAGTTGTACAATTCAGTATGAAAGCATGAATGAAGTGTTTATCTCAATGCCCTTTGCTTCTGTCTTAGTCAATTTTCTATTGCTGCGATAAAACACTATAACCAATTTATAGAAGGGAGAGTTTATTTGGGCTTACAGTTCCACGTAGCTAAGACTCTACCATCATGGTAGGGAAGCATGGCAGCAGGCAACCATGGTAGCCAGAACAGGAAGATGAAAGCTCACATCTTCAATGGTAAACACAAGACAGAGAGAGGAAGTAAGTGAGGCAAGGCTATACACTCTCAAAGCCCCAGCCATGGTGACACACTCCCTTCAGCAAAGCTATACCTCCTAAACCTCCCCCAAACAACGCCACCTACTGGGGACCAAGCATGAACTTCCTGAGCCTGTTGGGGTATGTCATTCAAACCAGCACAACCTTCTTCCTTTCTAGTGTACCTGATATAACAAAAGCTTCTGTGGTCCCTCCTGGTATAAGATAGATGATTTTATGGCCAATGTACTTTGCTCATGGATTTTAAGTAAGTGTTAGCCTCTTATTTTTGTGGACCCAGATTCCCAATCCCATAAAACACTTGTTGCTTTATTGCTGTACAAATGCAGCACTGAATCCTAACTTTATGACTATCTGCACTGTTTTATAGAATCAATTAGATGATTATCATAATAGCCACTAAATACCTTTATATTGTCACAAATGTTTTCTTTTAAATGCCTTTATTTCCTTCTTAATAACCTACTTGCCAGAATTCTAAGATGTCTCCATGATGTCCACCCACTGGGTTACAGCCCCTGTAGCCCCGCCCTTGAGTGTAGGCTGGTCTATGGTTTCCTCCATCCAACAGGAGATGGTGAAAGTGATGGAGCAGCAGTCCTTCAGTTACCTTAAAAATATACCATGGAGGAGTCTGCAGGTGTAATTAGGGCTTCAAATCAGATGATTTTGAGTTCATGGGAAGGAGTATTCTAGGTGGGTTTGGCTCTTGTTGTAAGGACTTTTACCCCTGTTGTAGGGATTCCTGTAAGGCAGCAGTTCTCAACTTGTGGGTCTCAACCCCTTTGGGGGTTGATTGACCCCTTTACAGGGTAACATATCAGACATCCTGCATATCAGATATTTACATTATGGTTCATAACAGTAGTGAAATTATAGTTATGAAGTAGCAAAGAAATAACTTTATGGTTGGTGGTCCCCACAACATGAGGGACTGTATTAAAGGGTTGCAGCGTTAGGAAGGTTGAGAACCACTGTTGTAAGGAGTTCTCCAATTGGCCTTGTGTTGCTGTGTTTAGAAGGTTCCTGGAGCAACTTGGCAGCTTCCTCTGCTCCCCACACAGGAGGGTGCTCAGTAGGCAAAGAGACTTGCTACTAAGTCTGGCAAGTTGTGTTGGATTCCTGGGACTCACAAGGCCAAGGGAAAGAACCAATTCCTGAAAGTTGTCCTCTAACCTCTACACAGACACTGTGGGACATATGTGCCTAGATGCAATCCATCCATCCATCAATTAATGTCTTTAAAATAAAAGAAAATCAGTAATAACAAGATTTTATTTTCTTTTATATGGACATGGGGTCTTAGATGTTTATTATAAAATGATTTGTTAAATCTTATACACATCTCCCAAATAGACCTTTGTACTTTCAAAATGTTTTTTAAAATGAATATTGAATATAAATACCTAAAGTTTCAGGTAGACATTTAAGAGAAATACAGAAAAATGAAAGGAATATATGGAGATTCATGTGTAATTTTAGTTAATCCAAGAGAAGCAAAAAATAAAGCAATGGGAAATTTCATGTCTCTTTTTCTTTAACAGATAGGAATGGGTCATTTGCATGTTACACAAGATGGACTTCGCCTGGAAGGGGAATCCGAGTTTTTATTTCCACTGTATGTCAAAGAAATACGCTCCAGAGTGGTAAGAAGGCTGTGTGTCACATGATTTGTGAAAAATAAGTAACGGTTAAGCACAGCAATTCATGGTATGTCCTATCTAACACATTCATGGTATATATGATCTAACACATACATGGTATGTCCTATGTAACACACTCATGCTATGTCCTATGTAACACATTCATGCTATGTCCTATCTAACACATTCATGGTATAAGTCCTATCTAACACATTTATGGTATGTCCTATGTAACACATTCATGCAATGTCCTATGCAACACATTCATGGTATATGTCCTATGTAACACATTCATGATATGTTCTATCTAACACATTCATGGTACATCCTATGGAACACATTCATGGTATGTCCTATGCAACACATTCGTGGCATGTCCTATGTAACACATTCATGGTATGTCCTAACTAACATATTCATGGTATGTCTTATCTAACATATTCATGGTATGCCCTATCTAACAATGTGCTACTGGACAGTAAGCCTTACTTTACAGAATATATGCTATGAAGATTTTATTCTTAAATGCTTCAGCTCTGAGTTTAGTAACCTCAGCAATTTATTCCATAGGAAAAAAAACATAATTTATAATTAAAAGTCTTTACTCAGAACAATTGACTATCATTGATGTTGTAGAATATTTGTTTAACTAAGTAAAGATGTGTTACATTTGTTTAATTATGTAAAGATGTGTTGCTGTTTCACCTTGCCTGCCTAAGGCACCTGATTGGTCTAATAAAAAGCTGAATGGCCAATAGCTAGGCAGTAGAGGGATGGGCAGGGATGGCAGGCAGAGAGAATAAGGAGGAGGAGGCATCTAGGCTGGGTGAGAGAAAAGAGAACAAGGGAGAAAGAGAGGGAGACATCTGGGGCCAGTCAGCCAATCAGCCACCAGCCAGCAAGACACAGAGTAGGATATACAGAAGGAAAGAAAGGTAAAAAGCCCCAAGGCAAACATAGATGAAGAGAAACACGTTAAAATAAGTTGTAAGAACTAGCAAGAAATGAGCCGAAGCTAAGGCCAAGCATTCATGACTAATAATAAGTCTCTGTGTCATGATTTGGGAGCTGGTGTTGTCCCAAAAGAAAGCCTGTTACACATTGGTGCAAGCAGCTTAAACAGACTTGATTCAGAGCAGTCAGAGCTCTCTGGGGGGACTCCAGAGAAATTCCTGCCATAGAGACATTCTGCATTACTTGTGCTACTTATACGTTTGTGAGCCTGAGATTCATCATAAGCAGATCCAAATCAGTCACTATGAAATAATCATGAACTTGAAAAGCAAATCGAGACTTGCCTTGCCTCCATGGAATTTAAGAAAAAGATCACAGAGACTGAAGTAAAGATATCCTAAAAGAACCATCAGGACGTTCACCAGGGTCTCCTACCAGCAGCAGAGTGACTCAGCAGGAGAGTCCCAGTCCTGACACAAAGGGGCGTCCTAGAGAGGACAGAGCAAAGGGGAAGTCTCACCCATGGTTGTGTTGTATTGTTTCTAGGAATCTTGCTGGCGGAAGGGGCATTCAGATGCGCTGTAATTCAGACTGATTCATGCATGGACCAGATGTGAAGTTTTTCCGGCAGTACACTTGCATTAACCCTAGTGACATTTAGCAGTGTTATGGACACTGTTGTGTGAGGACAAGGAAAGTTAGCACAAGTTTTGTTAGTAAGAAAGTCAGGCCTGAATAAATTAAAATGTGAGATCTTATTCTCTCCACCTCCCCAAGTCATGTTGGTTGATCCCTCCCTGTATTTAGGGAGACAACAGACAGTAGGACCCGGTGACTAAAGCCAGGTAAATTGATCATAGCCAATGGGACCTTCCAGAATGAAAAGCTTTAAGTTTTATTTTATCAGGCTGTCATTTCCAGAATGCTTTAAGAAGAACAGGGAGTACAATTAGAAAGAAAGTCAGATAACCAATCACATATTAAAGGTTCACAATGTGGCATCAATGTCAATCAGGACATAGAATTATAGAAACCATGAAGTGAACAGAGCTGTGCAGCAGTTTGTAACAAATATGACTTCCCTATAGTGACATGTGAAGAACAGATCTCCCCTGAGAAACCTGTGTGTGCCAATATGTTAGTTCTGCTTTTCTGGGGAGCAGTTCTCTATAAAATCCTAGCAAGTGAGCTCCGTCATCCATCTGAAGAGTTTGCCATTCAACAGTGATCTACATTACTGAGCTGAAAGAATGTCTTCTCATGAATGTAATTCAGTGTGTGCTCGTGCCTCTGACTCTGGCTATGTAGTACCCTCAAGAGTAATGGGGCTGGGGGATGGCTCAGTTGGTAAAGTGCCAACTTCACAAGCTTGAGGAATTGAGTTTGCACAGTTGCTGTGGGATGTTCTGTATGGCAAATGTGTTGCTCTGATTGGTCAATAAATAAAACACTGATTGGCCAGTGGCTAAGCAGGAAGTATAGGCGGGACTAACAGAGAGGAGAAAAGAAAGAACAGGAAGGCAGACGGAGTCACTGCCAGCCGTCACCAGGACAAGCAGCATGTGAAGATGCCGGTAAGCCATGAGCCACATGGCAAGGTATAGATTTATGGAAATGGATTAATTTAAGCTGTAAGAACAGTTAGCAAGAAGCCTGCCATGGCCATACAGTTTGTAAGCAATATAAGTCTCTGTGTTTACTTGGTTGGGTCTGAGCGGCTGTGGGACTGGCAGGTGAGAGAGATTTGTCCTGACTGGGGGCCAGGCAGGAAAACTCTAGTTACACACAGTCATGGTGACCCCACTCTCAAGCTCACACTCATGAAGCACCAGGAAACACACATTACATACTTTTCAAAATTTTTATATACTACTAGTAGTGTGTGTGTGTGTGTGTGTGTGTGTGTGTGTGTGTGTGTGTGTGTATGTGTGTGTGTGTGTGTGCGCGCGCGTGTAGAGGACAACTTTTGAAAGTTGTTTCTCTCCCTCTGTGATGGGATACAAGGATTGAAGTCAAGTCATCAGGCTTACACGACAATCTTTTATCTACTGAGACATCTTACCCACCCAAAACTTACATATTAATGAGTACCCTGAGATGTTCCAATGCATACATATATTGGGTAATGTTTAAATGAGGTCAAACATATTTCCTCCAAAGTTTAGCCTTTCTTTATTGAGGAAACATTAAAAGCGATGTCTTCTAGCCTTTGAAATGTGCAGTGCATCACTGTTAACGATGGTCCCTGCAGCTCCCTAGGACTCCCCAGCATCTTCCTGTCCCTGATGGACTGTAACTCATACCCACTAATGACCTCCTCCACCCTCTCACCCCACCTCCATCCTCCTCCATCCTCCCTACCTTCTAAGTGACTGGCTTCTTCAGACCACACAGCTGAGGAGTCCTGCAAGACTTGTCTTTTTCTGTGTTAGGCTTTCTCTTTTTATTGGGAGAAACCTTTGCATTTTGAAAATAAGCAGTGTGGTGTTTCTTGTAGAATAGCTAACATTCTCTGATTTATCCCCCCTCAAATGCCTTGGACATAAATAACAATGACAACAACTGTGAATGTCTTGGCAAAGATAAAACACTAATTAGAACCTATTTTCCTTGAGAACTAATCAACATGTTAAGAGCAGTATTTTCAAACATCATAAACTCAAAGGATTATTATAATCTTTTCTTAAAAGCCAATGCATTTATATCCTAAGCATAATATAGTTCTGGTTATTTAAATGTTTTTGCTGCAAGTGTATAGGATCCAAGGATCTAATGTAGAAAGTATAAATGTAAATTATACACAAACATAGCGGTATACTTTGCTAATTTTGAAAATCCTTTCCAGGACTCATCTCTGCTTCTGCAGTCAACTCAGAATGTGACAGTCAGTGCTCGCAACTCAGAAGGGGAGGTCACAGGCAGGGTGAAAGTGGGTGAGTCCAACAATCTTATATCAAGTCCACGGAGGGTGTTGAACAGATGGAGTTTCTTCTAAAGAATTGCAAACTTATTTATAAGTAATAAAAAATGAACTTTTTAACTTTCATATTGTGCATAGAGAACAGTTAGCACTGAGAGGCAGAGGGGCAGTGTGAAGGTTTGTATGTGGAGAGGGGATAGTGTTAAACCTGAAAATAGTGAAGAGAAAGACCAAATCCACAGTTATCTAATTAAAGCAAGCTTTATTAAACACTGGCCAGGACGATGGACACTGGCCAGGTCCATACCCAGGATTCCCAGAGAATGGCACTGAATTGGGCTAGTAGGGTGCTCATAAGGCAAAAATCCACAAGGTTATGTACTTCCCACCTTCATCCAGCAGGGGGCAAGCATACATCCTGCCCTACTTCCTGTCTACATACCTCTCACCTATGTGTGTAGCTGGGCAACCAACCTTGTTTACAAAAGTGAAAACACATGCCATGTTATTTTACATGAACAACAGCCCCCAGCATTCCAAGAAGTTATCTGTCCTTGGGCAAGTGGAGCTTACAGGTTAGAGGCTTTTTTTTTTTTTTTTTTTTTTTTTTTTTTTTTTTTTTTTTTTTTTTTACAGATCCCTTAAGTACAATAATTTAAACTTGAAACATAACTTGAGCGCTCATATTTTCCCCTTGTGTTGTATCACGAGTCAAATCCTTGACTCTATAGTGGGTACCTATACATATTGAGATCTAATAACTATCAGTTTAATAGCACCCAAATGGAAATTTATGTATCTAGTTAAGGCATTAATGAGCAAAGGCCAACAGTAATTAGCAGAAACAGAAGGGCCAAAGGCTCTGTGATGGTCAACATCAGAGCGGCTGTGAGAATGGAAACCAGTCATTTTTCATCTTGGGTCCTTTTTTTTTGCAAGGTTCCTGAGTGATTTGCATAGAAACAACAATTTCTATTAAAGTCACATAATAATATATCTGTTCACTCTCTACTTCCTGCCCACTGATGCAATGTGACCGGCGGCTCTTGCTCCTGCCCCACACCTTTCCTGCCACAACCTCCTAGAACTGCAAACCGGAACAAACCTTCCTCAAATTGCTTCTGTCAAGGCATTTTGTCACAGCAACAAGACAAGTAACCAATGCCCTTTCTAAGACTGGCCCATGGGAAAACACGCCAGCACATGATGGCACCTGCTAGAACTTGGAGCCCACTCTTCTGAGCACCAAATCCCAGAGGTCACAGAACAAATTCTGAGACTAAACTACTGAGGCTTTTGTAGAAGGGAGAGTGCCGAACATGGAGAATGGGATGCTAAGCATTGCATCAGAGAAGGGGAAATTCTGGAATCTGAGAAAGGCAGAGTGATGAAAGTACCAGTAATGGGGCACGGTGGGAGGCTGAAGTGGGTCTGTGGAGATGTCTCATTCTTCCACGAAGAAGCAAGAGCTTGCCGAGAGGTTGGCCAGCACCCTCCCAGACGGACCACCGTCCTCAGCCCCAGGAGAAGTCTAACCCAGGAAGGGTTCCAGAAACCACCTTATAAAAAGGGGACAAATTCAGTGGTGCTCAGTAAGCCCCACACGGAAATGCCCACATTGCAGTGCGTAGCACAGATGGGCCAGCAAACAGTTAGGTACCTTCACCCAAGAATTCCAGGTTTGACAGGAAGACGAGACTAGCAATGTCCCGAAAGATCGGCTAAAGAGGGTCTGTGGGGAAGAAAAGAAAAATGAGCCCATTTTCACTCTCACAAATAGAGAGAAGAATATTCTCACACTGCATTGTCTCCAGAATCCAGGTGCAAAGAATGTTATGGGAGGAAAAGCCACTGGGGCCATGATGCATGCTTTTAGGAAAAACAAAACAAAAAACAGAGCTAATGGAATGACATAATAGATGAGTGTGTTTCTCATTCCTGGGATCATGCTGGCGATAATCCTTTATGTTTAAAAATTGAAAGGGAGCTGGAGAACAGCTCAGTGCTTAAGAGCACTTGCTGCTCCTGCAGAGGACGTGTGTTTGGTTGCCAGCATCCATATCAAGTGGCTCACAACTGCTTGCAACTCCAGTCCCAGGGCATCCTATACCCTTGTCTGGCCTCTTTGGGAACTCACACATGGTGTATATGCACAGGCACACACACACACACACACACACACACACACACACACACACACACACACACACAACTTTTTTAAGCTGAAAGGCAACATATTTTGGAAAGCAGTAAAAATGATCCACAGGAATATAAATGAAGGAGAACTTAATGTCTCAATGGACGTGTGTAAGGATGGAGTATGCACCATGTTGCTGTGGCTTGCAGAGATACCTCAGAACAAATATGGTTCTGGTCATGTGATGGCTAGCTTCATGTTTAAGAGTGTAAAATTACTGTGCTTAAGAGAACTATAAAGCAAAATTGAATTTCCAAACATGAAGGGCTTAAGTTAAGGGTTGATCTTTGTAATTGCCTGGTCTTGTACAATTTCAACAAAACTATTGTTTATACAAGGTAATAGGTCATAAGGTCAACGGCTGTTCCTGCTGCTGTAAAGGAAAGCTTGTTTGCTCAACAGAACCATAACTTAGTGTTCTTTGCCTTTACAAACCCCTGACTGACGTGGCTGACTTGGCTGGTGCAGCATTTGGGGATCCTTAGTCCTGGTTGTAGATCCGGTGCCAGTATATAAAAGGAAGCCTCTTCTTTGTTAAAATGTATTCATGGCCAGACTGGTGGGTCTCTGAATGACCCTGGACCCTTAACAGTCACTGCAGCTTCCTCCTCAGCCTCTGCTCTGTTCCCCCTTTTCACTGCCTGTGGGGAGCCGGGAGTCCCTTGACCCTCAGTCTCACCCAACTTTGTTTTCATGGAAGTGAGTGGACCCATGTGCAAGGCCTTCCCTCGTTCTCGAGTGGGAAGCAGTGAGCCTGCACTGCATAAGTTGCCCTATTTTTCCATAATTTTTTCGTCACAAAATGCCACATTTCATTCAATAAGAGTCAATATTAATATAACATATATACGAGATGCTGGTGACCCTGGATCTCTGGGTAGGAAAAAATATATATATATATGTATGTATATGTATATGTATATATATAATTATCTAAAAGTAAAGCCACGTTTTCTTAAGAAAAAGAAAATTTAACAAACTGAGGGCTTTAACTCCTAACTACATCTGCCACCCAAACCATTTCTACAAGTTTATGTATTATTATTGTGGTAGGGATGGGGAGATGCATGCCATAGTGTGCCTGTGGAAGCCAGTCATGTCCTGTGATTCAGTAGTGACCCAGCAGTTGTGAAAATAGGGAATCCATGCTGCTTACAGCAAACGTCTAATACCCTGTGCTGATTGGCCCCTCAGGTGCCGAAATGGTAGAAGTCCAGAGCCAGCACTTCCAGATCAGCTCTGAGAATGGCAAGCCACTGTTCACCGCCGAGGAGCAGGGTATGGTGGTCGGCACGGGCAGACTGCGAGTCACGGGTATGTGGAGACAGGCGGCTGCAGCGCATCCATAGCTCTGCTCTGCACTCGGCTAAGGAACAGTATCTGGCTGTTGAAGTTTCTTCCTGGCATTTCCTTTGACATTCTGTTTGCGTCTGAAGGACGATGCCTTCCTCACACAACTTTGCCCACCTTCGTCTTTCTCCTTTATCTCTTTTCTAGTCACTGAAGCCAAGAGCTCACACATCTCTCTGTGTGGTTTTCGTATCTGTTTTATCCCCCATGTGTCTACAGACAGCCTTTTGAGTCTGGCTGATTCAAAAGTGGACTGGAACTCTCAACAGGTTCACCTTCAGTATAAAAAATTCTATGAAAAACATTTTCAGAACCTGTTGCAAACTTGCTTGCTATGTTTCTGGAAGTCTAGAGGTAAAGCAGACAGATGTGTTTAAGCCACTTTCGGAATTTTTCTGCACTAATCAGAAGATCAACAGTAACATTATTCTCTCGCACAGTGTTAACAGGAAGTAGACTCAACCCCTGATATACAATTTTATGTGATTTATGCATCACTTCCAAGCACGCTCTAAAGTAGTGACCTAATGTTGCAGACTATGCCAAGGAAGCAGCAGCTTTCTTTCTTTCTAAAAGACACTAGGAAAGCCAAGATAAGAAATTGAAGCCAGTGGGCGGTGGGGGGTGGGAGGGGTGAGGCATGTGCCTGCAGTCCAAACATCAGGAGACAGAGGCAGAAGATCATGAATTCAAGATGTGGGCTAAATGGTGAGACCTGTTTCTCTCTCTCTCTCTCTCTCTCTCTCTCTCTCTCTCTCTCTCTCTCTCTCTCATTCTCTCTCTCTCTCTCTCTCATTCTCTCTCTCTCTCTCTCTCATTCTCTCTCTCTCTCTCTCTCATTCTCTCTCTCTCTCTCTCTCTCTCTCTCTCACACACACACACACACACACACACACACACACACACACACACACACACACTTACCGCTTAGTAAGTAAAAGAGCAAGTAGCTAAGTATCTGACATAGAATCCACTGGCTCAAAGTACATACGGTCTCTGCCTTGTGATGGTTTAGCTCGTCTGCCTTGTAATGATGGAGACACGACACAATTAGTAGGCACCGACTGGAATTTTTTATGTGCTTACTTTCTTGGACTAGCATTACATCATCCCATCCTCATGGCTGGAGAGCTACAGTGGGCAATACTACACCTCCTACTCAGTCCTTGGATCACATACGATTGAACCACCTCACTCTACAGTGGGCTGTGCTGCTGAGATGGCATGGTTGATAGTCAGGTAGATGCTATCTTCCACTTGGGATATTATCAGTTTATGACATGGTTATTAGAACATACCACCATTATGAGTCGAGGGCCACCTGTTTAGGACACATTGGCTTTCTTGACCTTGATGCTATTTCTGTACTCGCTGCATGCAAGTTGTCAGTAGGTCTGTCTCCTGATGTGTAAGAGCAAGTTGGTACCACTAATCTTCTTGATGGTGGATCAAATTAATATGTGCAAAGTCAGCAAAGCCCTTGGGAAAGTACCATTGTGCTGTAGGGTATAGTGAAAAGAGTATAAGTCAGGTGGTGGTGGTGCATGCCTTTAACCCCAGCACTCGGGAGGCAGAGCCAGGTGGATCTTTGTGAGTTCGAGGCCAGCCTGGTCTACAGAGTGAGATCCAGGACAGGCACCAAAACTGCACAGAGAAACCCTGTCTGGAAAAACCAAAAACAAAAAAAAAAGAGAGAGAAAGAGAGAGAGAGAAAAGAATATAAACAGAAACTTGGATTCCATCAAACCCAAGCCATCCATCACAGAGGATAAACCATTCCCAAGCCTGGGGTTTCTTTCAGATTATGGCATTATAAGGGAAGCAGATGAGAAACCTGATAAGCAGTTGCAGTGGAAGTTAACTGTATACATCAGAACCACTTTGGGCGGTTGTTATGTCTGTATTTATTGTATTCAACCCTGGAATCTCTGGCTGGGTAGCACATCGGTTACTTCTCTTGCTCCCGGGACAAAGCATCTGCCAGAAGCACCCTGATGGAGGAAAGGCTTGTCTGGGCTCACAGTTCAGGAGATGCGGACCATTGTGGGAGAGAAGGCATGAGGCTGAACATGCTTGCTGTGCAGCTGAGAGAGCTGATGGGCTGGCTTTACACATCTCAGAGGGGCAGCAAACAGAGAGAGCTCAGACAAGAAATTAGATGAGCAAGAATCATCAAGATCTGCCCCTAGCAACCCACCTCCTCCTGCTAGGCCAACCTCCTAAGGCTCCACAACCTCTCCAAACTGTGCCAACACCTAGGGACCTGGGAACTGCTTGAGCCTGGAAGGGCATCTCACATCCAAACCATCAACAAGTAGGCTTGGCATAAGACTGAAGACTCCATTTCTAACCGGTTCCTAGGGGATGTCAGTGATACAGTTCCAGGGGCCACACTGAGAACCTCATCCCCACACTAACCTGACCAGAGTCGGTGGGAGAAGTAGCTGGTCAGTCGCATATAAATGCATTCTCCAGCACAACCTTGAAGCTATCCTCTTAAGAGACAATCTGAGCCCACGCTTCCATCTCAGGCACTAATTTCTCCCAAACTCCCCCTTCTCTCCAGTGATGCTAACCAGGGTATGTGAACCTCACCTCTAACAACTGTGTTCCTTCCCTGTCGTTACAATATGGAGGTTCTTGTTGCCACAGTAACCATGAGTGGGGGAGTGAATGACCAGACCTGAGCTTGCTGAGCTTTCCAATGTGTCCTTGGCTTGACCCAACTCTGACAAATTGTAGAAAATTCCACAATTCTGGTATTTCTCTTCTGGGTGTCTCTCTATATTTATTGTCTGGTTCAGGCTTCCTCAACCTTAGTACTGTTACCATTTGAGGTGGGTAGTGTTGGAGTGTAGATGGGGTGTACACAGGAAAACTAAATAAAACCATCATGCAATTAATTATAAGTACGTTGAGAAGGTTATCACCAAAAGTTATCTATTCATAGTGACTATAGTTATGACCATATTTTGTTAAATAGAAAATTTAGTAGGATATTTTCATGAACTTTAACTTTTCAAAATAAATTCCCATGGCAGCTTTTCTTCACTACATCCTGTGAAAGTCCAGGGTCCACTAAAAAATATGAAAACAGATGTATCTGGATCACCATGCCTGTTAGGCCCATAACCAAAAGCACAGACACTTTGTGGTATGTCTCCATGGACAGCTGACAAGCCACAGGCACGGGCAGTCGTCTTTCTACTGAAAGGAATGAGGACTCCCCTGCAGTGGCTGCGGCCTCACGGACACACAGATATCACATGGGAACCCGGAGGGTGCACCTCCAGGTTGACTCACACTGACTCCAGCTTTTCCTGAGTGCAGGAGCTCGGACATGGGATGCACCCTGCCGTTCTGTGTGACTTTCTCCGCAAACATCTACGTGAGGGTCTCAGTAGCTTCTGGGGCCCTGGTGCTGCCAGTCAGGTTGCCACAGTCTCCTCACCTCATTTCTTTTTATGTAGTTTGGCAGTTGCTCTGTTTGGGTGTCCCTCTGTCACAGCAACTTCATGGCTGCTCTGTTGGAATCGTTTCGTGTTTTTTGTGTCAGATAGTGTATGATGAGAGAGAAAGGACACCATCATATACTCACTGGCTACAGTGAGGATCTCTCTTCAGTGCAATGCAAAGATGTTGAGTTTCCTGGACGGTGGTGTGCCTTGACTCATGCTGTAGAACTCTGACCTCTGGGTCCCATTGAAATCAGAACAGCTGCAGTCACCCACGAGAGAGACCCACAAGACTGGGCGGATTAACGACTTACAGTTGTTAGAAAGAGAGACTCCTTAGTGGTATAATTGTCGATGAGTCAACCATGCACCTCTGACTAACCCCTTATCCACACTCCTGTAAATAGCTTCAGTAGACTCAGTGGTTCACCAAGCTAGACTTGGATGGAATGATTTCTTTGATACGTCATTGCAACAGATAGAAATGTAGTTCCCAAGAAAAGTCACAACAAATCCATTGTACATTTTAAGGCCAGTCTAATCATTACAGGGAAAATAGATTGTTTAGAGGCAAGAATCAAAGCATAGAGCCAAGTAGGATGGTGGCCCGCCGAGGCGGGGGCAGTGTTCTGGAGGAAGTGGGTCACTCCGAATTAAGGTCTGAGATAAGAAGCTCTGTCAGGGTTCAGGTGGGTGTCAAGCATCTGGGGAAAGAATCAAAGGCGATGCTTGTTGGTGGGTAACAAGGTTGTTCTGTGGGTAATGGAGAACCCAGGGGAAGAGAAAACACCACACAGCAGAGGCAGCCCGCAGATAATTCTTATGTTGAGGATCAGCACAGCTATTGACTGTGCATCCATGGACACTTGGAACAGAAGCCTTGAGTGAGCACACGTGAGCATCACACACCAAATGAGCTATGAGAATGCCCATGAGGCCCCAAGTGGAAGAGTGGAGAGAGAGCGTGGGGGCAGGATTATCTCAGTAGCCATTTTCCTGGTGCCAGAACAGCTGATGTTCCAGAATTTGAGTCCAGGAAAGATAGAAATTGTCCTTGGATGTCATCATGGAGGTTACTACTATCTTAGAAAGAGCATTTTCAAGGGGGGAGTGAGGGATTCAAGGCAAGAAGCAATTTGAATTGTTTGCATTGTGAATAGAGTGGGAGGTTGTACAGATGCCATGCAGTGTGGCCATGATGGGAACAATGGCATTATTTTACATCATCTGAATAGCCTGTGACAGTCCACAAATGCTCAATGAATGTGTGGAATTGACCCTAATAAATTTTGGGCAGCAAAGATGCAGTGATTTAACAAAGATGCAGTAGCATCCCCTACTCAAATAGAACTGTTAATATTGAATTCTGTGTATTGGAGGAGTCTAAAAGGAACCTGTCAGGAAGAATGGAGCCACTTGAAGCCACCCAGTACTGGGCTCTGTCTATGAACTCCATGGTTGTTGGACTCTACTCCATGAACCGTCTCCCACCTTCACCACTGTAATCAGTCTAGTGCTCAAGGCTTACTGCAGATCCCCCCATGACTATCATTCATTAAAAAATAGGTGGGCACATAGGTATGTCTGCAGGCAGGTTTTTCTGTCTCTCCTACCAGCTTCCAAGTCATGACACAGAGACTCATTGTTAACTATGAAAGCTCGGCAGATAGCTTAGGCTTGTTTCTAATTAGCTCTTGTAACTTAAATTAACCCATTTCTATTAATTTGCTTTCTGCCTTGTGGCTTTATTACCTTTATTCTGTACTGCCCATGTTGTTTTCTCTTTGTCTGTCTGGCAACTCCTTGGGACTCTGCCTTTCTTCTTCCCAGTATCCTCCCTGTCCTGAAAATCCTGCCTATCTATTGGCTGTTCAGCTTTTTATTAAACCAATCTGATTGACAAATCTTGACGGTGTACACAAAGATTATTCCACAACATATGTGGAATATAGGACATTTATTTGATTGATGTGGGAGGACCCAGCCCACCATGGCAGTACCACTCCTGGACAGATGATCCTGGATTGTGTAAGAAAGCAGGCTGAGTAAACCATGGAAAGCAAGCCAGTAAGCAGCTTTCTTCCATGGTCTCTCCTTCAGTTCCTGCCTCCAGGTTCCTGCCTGTGATGAACCTGGAATTGTAAGCTAAGAAAACCCTTTCTTCCCATGTTGCTTTTGATCATGGCATTTATCAAAGCAATAGAAAACAAGCCAGGTCAGAAACTGGTACCCATGTGTGCCCTAGGCATGGGGTATGCCTACAGTGAGGGTGGGGCCTGGTGATAGGTGAGGTCCAGGCAGAGGTGTGTCCTAAACCTGGGATGGGCCCAGTCAGGGGTGGAGTCTAGGCATGAATGGGACCTAGGCAGGAACTGAGCTTTGGCCTGGCAGAACCTAGGCCAGGCAAAAGCCCTGGATAAATCTTAGTGGGTGTAATAGATGAAGCGCTACTGCTAAATTCTATGCATAAGCCCATAAAACTTAAGGTAAGAAATACCTTGAATATAGCCTGAACAATGGATTTGCATTGCCGCTGTGCCCAGTGTAGCGGTTACCCACTTGTTCTCACGTGCTCAGTGCCTGCGGCCTTGCCACTTTGCTTGAATCCTCACCTGCAAACTTCGAATGTCACAAATGACTTTATCACAAGGTTTGTACTAGCCCCCATGTGCTGTAGTCTGCCCTGCTGCCTGAAGGTGGATAAGGAGCTGTGCTTTAACCACGGCAGGACTTTCCAGCCAACACTGCTCGTTTACTTAGGTAATGAAGCCCCACGGCATGCAGATTTAAAATGTGAACGCTGGTCTCAAATGATAGCTAACGTAGGATATGACAAACAGTGTGTCTGCTGCTCAATGTATCTCTGTACCGTACCCTGGGCACATTCTTGCCTGTGATCATGTTCTCTGATAAATGGACTGAGAGAAATGCTAGTTCCAGAAACACAAGGGGGCTATTTCAGATGTTTAGAATTCTTTAAAACTGTTCTACTGGGCCTTAGAAACAAATGACATAAGACACACCTGTCACACACACACACACACACACACACACACATACACACATGCATGCACACACACACACACACACACACACACACACACACACACTAACTTAGTATTACTGGAAAAAAGATGGATGCAATGTCAATGTGAGTTATTTCTTTTTTTTTTTTTTTCGGTTTTTTGAGACAGGGTTTCTCTGTGTAGCTTTGTGCCTTTCCTGGAACTCACTTGGTAGTCCAGGCTGGCCTCGAACTCACAGAGATCCGCCTGGCTCTGCCTCCCAAGTGCTGGGATTAAAGGCGTGCGCCACCACCGCCCGGCACCATTCTCTACTTTTAAAATAAGCCTGTTAGTTTGCAATAACTTGGGTCAAAAAAAATCACACTCTGTTGATAAGCTGTCCTGGTGGCCTCAACATGTACAGGAACTCTTGTGCCCTTTTTCCCTGAATTTTGAACCCATGAACAAATTTGGCAAAAAAGAACACAGACTACAGGCTCAGCATCCCTTACCAAATCTTGGGATCCAGAGTGTTTGAGGTCCCAGACGTTTTAGATTTGGAACATCTGCCTGTGCACAGACACCCGAGGGATGAGAATTCCCTTGGGCTGTAGCTTGGAGGTACTAATCTGTATTAGAGTGGGTTTCATGAGCTTGCGTTTTGACTGCAGCCCATCACATGGGGTCAGTGATGGAACTCTCTACTCTCGATGGTTAAACTGATCGAAAACCCTGGATTCTGGGACTAGGGACGCTCAGCCTTTTGGCTGGACGGGCTGTTTAATTTGGCTGATTCCACTCCTTGTATTTTGTTCTGATGCATCTCTGGGCTTTGTTTAGGGCCAGAAGGAGCTCTTTTTGAACACTCAGTGGAGACACCCCTCGTCAGAGCTGACCCATTTGAAGACCTTAGGTAAGGAGTTTGCTTCCAATATAAACACACTTTCTTACAGCAAACACCAAGTTGTGCCTGCAGACTGATGCTCAATGTCCCCATATCACTTCTTACTGCCTCGGTTGCCTTGACTTTCAGGGCTTTCAGCACATAACTAACTGGTTATTACTTATTAGAACCCGAGGCAAGTCCAAAGCCCTGTTGGGTCTAAACTTTGTTGTGGTTTCATGGTTCTTCCTCTCTTGTCTCCACTGCCTCTGTTCAGGCTCCGTAGGACAGTAGGGGTCTGCTCGTCACACTCAGTCAGAGGGACACTGCTCTTTGGACACTGTTTAAAATGCTTTGCTGCTTCCGCATCAGCCATGGGATGATGGGTGTGTGCTCAGGGCACCCATGGGTAGGGCTGTGCCTGGCAGTCCTCTCCCTCACAGGCCTCCCCGACTTGAGCACCTACTGCCCCTTTCCACCCCAGGCTTTTGAACAAACTCTTCCCTCTGAGGGGGGTACCTTCCATTACATTATCCGTCCCTACCCACCTAAAACAAGCCAAAGCCTCATGGAAGAGGACAGTGCCCTACATAGACTTTGAAATTTGAAATCAGCATTCTTGAAAGTGTCCACTTACTCAAGTAGTAGGTGTCCTCTCCTCTGTGTGTGTGTGTGTGTGTGTGTGTGTGTGTGTGTGTACTATTCATTGAGGAAAGAATGGTATAAATGCAAGCACAGGATAAATTCATATTTGCAAAAAAATGTTAGAAAGCTTTGGTTATCTATGGTAAAAATTCACATCATGTATAATTTACCCTCTCAGCCATTTTTAGTGTGCAGCTCAGTGGTGTTAAGTACTTTTTGAACCATTGCCACAGTCCATCTCCAAAGCCTTTTTCCTCTTTGAACTGAAATTCCATCCCCCTTGAGTAGGTCTTCATCCTCCCCTCCCCACCTCAGCCCTGGTATCCACCACACTAGTTTCTACTTCAGTGGACTTGACTGTCCTATGTACCTCATGTAAGAGGAATGTACTGTGATTCTCCTGTTGTGACTGTTTCCCTGGGTATAAGGCCCTCAGCCTTTGATGTGTTTGTGCATGATGACTGAATAATTTTGTACAAAAGTTTCCTCTTACAGAGTCTATCTGTAATTCTAGACTGTTGGCTATCATGTATCTAATGTTAACTCCACTAATACTTTTTTTTTTTTTTTTTGGTTTTCCGAGACAGGGTTTCTCTGTGTAGCTTTGCGCCTCTCCTGGAACTCACTTGGTAGCCCAGGCTGGCCTCGAACTCACAGAGATCCGCCTGGCTCTGCCTCCCGAGTGCTGGGATTAAAGGCGTGCGCCACCACCGCCCGGCTCACTAATACTTTTTATGCCAAAGGCCAAATAAAATTTTTCAATAAATGGTCTATCATAGTAAGGATGTAGAATGTCCCCCACAGGTCCAAGTAGCTCTGTGGTGTGCTGACAGGATCTTTGGGTATATATACACTCCGGCATGGTATAGCTGGGTCATGTGGTCACTTTCAGGACTTTCCATACTTTCAGGAACTTCCATACTAATTTCCGGTGACTGGACTATTTTACATTCCTGCCAGCACTGTATGTGTGTTCCTCTTTCTGTGTATCTTCACCATCGCTTTCTTTTCTTTTCCCCCCACAAGGTCTGAACATTCATTTGTTGCTATTTAAGACTTGCGTTTTTTTTTTTGTTTTTTGTTTTTTTTTTTTTTGGTTTTTCGAGACAGGGTTTCTCTGTGTAGCTTTGTGCCTTTCCTGGAACTCACTTGGTAGCCCAGGCTGGCCTCGAACTCACAGAGATCCACCTGCCTCTGCCTCCCGAGTGCTGGGATTAAAGGCATGCGCCACCACCGCCCGGCAAGACTTGCGTTTTTGACTGGACTCAGACGTAGAAGCTCTCAGCAAGGACAGTCCAGGTCTTTTGGCAACCTGTTCCTGGAGCATTTCTCTGGCTTCCTTCATTTTCTTGGTCAAAAGTTTAGCATATTCTGCAGTCTCCTCTTCATTTTTCTTAGTGTATTGTTCCTTCAGAGCAACATGTGGGCATCGGTGTTGCAGGACATGTAGGGTAACAAGACACTGAGTCTTGGGTGCCTTGGTCTTGGACGTCTTACCTTCTTTATTCAAGGGCTTTCAGACAACATGTCGGCAGACATCATCATCTCAAGAGAGACCGAAAAGTTTTCAGATTCTGCTCTCTCTTTTTGAGCCCCAACTGCTGGTGTCCTGGAAGGAGATATTCGGTTTTATCTTGGCACAGTGGACCACCTAGGAAGCACCATGGAAAGGGGACTTTGTTTTCCTTGATCACTGTTCTGGTTGGGATCATACATAGTCATGATGCTATTTTAATTTGCATTTCTCTTTGGGTGTTGCCTTAGTTTCTTGTGTCTGTGATAGACTATCCAGACAAAATCAGCTCAGGGAAGAACAGGTTTATTTCAGCTCATAGTTTGGGAAGTCAGAGCCACAGATGCCTGAAGCAGTTGGTCTGATTGCACCTACCCACAATTAGGAAGTGGAGAGGAACAGATGCCTTTGCTCAGCTTCCTTGATTCTTTTTGTACTGCCTAGGATCCACCCCAGGGAATGATGCCACGCTCAGTGAGCAGGTCTCCCCACCTCAATTAACCTAATCAAGATAATCCCACAGGAATGCTCATAAGGAAACCATACACATGGCAAACAGACGGACAAATAGGCATGTACCACCCTCCTCCCAAATAACTCTCCTTACTGTATAAGAAAGTAGGTGCAGCTAGAGAGATGGCTCAGTAGTTAAGAGCAGTGTTGCTCTTTCAAAGGACCTGGGTTCGATTCCCAGTACCTACATGCTAGCTCACAACTGTCTGTAATCCCAGTCCTAGGGAATCGGATGCTCTCTTCTACCTCTGAGGACACTGCACTAATATATGTGTACTCATAATCATGAACATACACACTCACAATTTACAATATCTTTAAAGATATCATTCATTGTGGAACATTTGATTTTCTTTCTTTTTGTTTTTAAGACTTTTCATTCATCTCACTGATCTGTATGATGTGGGGGTGGGTATATTTTAACGTAGGTGGGGATATTGGTGACTGACTGGGACCAGCAGGTCATTCTTGGGTGACAGGACCCTAATGTGGCTGGCCAGAGATGAGAAAATAAAGAATATAGAAAAGTTGGGACCAGGAAGTACTGCATACACTGATGGTTTATGCCAAGCAAGTTAATGGGAAGTGCAGCCCCTTATACACAGTTGGCAGGAGGGTGTGGGTGGGACAGGGAGCAGAAAGCTGTCATAGGATGGGATGAGGTCAGCAGCAAGCTAATCAAGCAGGGTTGCACAAGGGGAACCCATCATACCTCAAGTATATCACACATGGAGCACACAGCAGCCTGGAATTGATAACTCTGGTCTTTTCAGGGAGAAAGGCCAAGCTCCCAGAACGGAAACTTTAACTCCTTAGAGACCCTGGCCCCAGCCCCAGAGTAGACCTTGGCAAGTCTGCCCCTTGGCAAGGACACAGAACTAGGTTCCCTTCATCTTTCATGGGGGCTTCGAGAACACCTGGGATCTGCCTTGATCTCAGCGGGAGACCTTCAGTTCCAGGGGCCCTGCTCCTTTTGTGATTCTGGAGAACCCAGAGCCCTTAGTTCTCAGTGTGTGCCATCCTTGTTCTCTGGAGGTGCCAAGTCCTTTGCTTCTGCCCTCGGACTCCTTGGGAGATCGGGAATAGGATTCTGTGTGTCAGTGAACGTGGCTGGAAAAGCGTCCTTCATTTTCATGGATTTTCAGCTGGAGTTCCACATGCCCTTTAGGTAGGAATTACAGCCACAATCCTCGGTGGCCTCACCAATAAGAGTCACAGGTATTTCATTTGAAAATTGTGGCGGGTGTCTCAATATGCTGCCTGGCCTCTGCATCAGAATTTTAATTCTCGCAAATCCCACTGCTGAATGTTACCAAACGCATAGCTCAGTGAGCTCTCAAATCACCGTGTCATGATTTTGAAAATCTCATTCTTACACTTGAAAGTTTGCAAAGTCCTCTGCAATTCTGTTTTATTTTATGTATGGAAAGTATTAAATCCATGGACTTCACTAGAATGCCAAAGACTCCATGCTGCACTGGCCCCCATTGCAGAGCCTTCCCCTGAAGACACCCCACTCCTCACCTCCAGAGTTTTAATGTTTTGCATCATACTTTATCTGCATTTAGTAACTGATCTGAGGGAACAGACCCATCTTCACTTCTTCACTAAGGCTGTCAAGGTCACGCAGGATTTGCCTGAAATGCAGCAGGCCTATAGGAGCTGCTTCCATGTTTTTCCTTCCCGGCAAGAAAAATGCAGGTCACAGCAGAGCACCAGTGACCCAGATGCATGGACAAGCAGACAGAGCAAGCAGGAGAAGATTCACCAGCGCTCACACAAATGAAGCCAAACCGAATTAGATGAATCAGCTCCATAGATGTCCTTTAGGGGTATGCTCACATTCAAAGCAAGATTTCAACATATGCAGGACTCGGATTTTACATGCTCTGATAACTGAACAAAAGTGAAATTTTGTCTTGTGTTATCCACAGTGATGGAGGGGGCAGGGTGCTGAAAGAGGGCAATGGGAGATGAATATGATCAGAGCACATTATATGTGTGCAAAATGTCATAACAAAACCCACTACTTTGTGCAATTAAGATATGCTAATTAAATGTAGGAATAAAAAACGACAGAAATTTCCAATCTAACATGTATCCATCTGACTTAAAAGTCTCTCCAGGGCTGGGGGAAAGGTTCAAAGGTCAAGTGCTTGCTCAGCGTTCATGAGGTCTTGGGGTTCACCCCTAGCACTGAAAAAACGCCATCAAATCCACTCCTAGGGCCTTTTAAAGCTATGCCACACCTTCCTAACCCTCCCGTGGTCAGTGCTACCCCACAGCCGGCACCGTCCCTGAATGGCGCAGCTTTCCTGTCTGCTGTCCCTCTGACTGGTCTGAGTTGAGATGTTTCTGTGAAATCACGTTTGTAGCTGTGGGGCTGGACTGTCCACCACCAACTGCATTGTGCCCCCAGGTGGAATCCATCCTTTTCCAGGTGGAGGCAAACAAGACATACTTTCTGGCACATATATTTATGGTTTGTTCTTACGCTTGGCCCAACCCCAGGAGAGCCTGATCCACTGTACCAAGCCAGGTGGGGCCAGCAGGCATCCTGTCTCCTGAGCTCTTCACTTCAGTGTTTTCGAAAAAAATAATCTTCCCAGTTACCCTTGGATCTGGCTGAACTTAAAGAGACTTTGAAAGGGGAGGCTGGGGAGACAGCTATCAGTAAAGCGCTTGCCAGGAGCTAGACAACTTGAGTTCATTCCCCAAAACTGCATAAAAGAATCAGGCACAGTGGCCTATGTGCCTGTAACCGCTGTGATGAGGAACATCCAAGGCATCCTGGCCACCCAGCCTTCCCTAACCAGCGAGCTCCAGACCAATGAGAGGCCGCGTCTCAGAAAAATGAAAAGTGAACTGTTCCTAAAGACCAACACCAAAGGTTGTTGACTGGTCACCACCTACACGTGCACACATGCTCCCTACTCTGTGTTAAGAGTGTGCCATCATGAGAGCATACACATGTACACACACACACACACACACACACACACACACACACACACACACACACACTAAACACGTAGCAAATATTTGTCCCTAAATCTGTCTCCCTTTCCCTTTCCTGGGAGTTTGTCCATTAACTAAATACTATCATTGTTTAAGCTGTCCACCAATGGCAGTTCCTTCTGCAGGGCCGTCTGCACAAGATTACAGCCATCTGCCGACTGTACCCGGGGACAGAGCACACTAAGTTCATAGGCTGTCACTAGTGGGATGCTTATTTCTCTGCTACTCACTGTGTAGGTTATTTGTTGTCAACCTGACACAAACTAGAGTCACCTGGGAAGAGGGACCCTCAGTGGAGAAACTGCTTTCATCAGACCGACCTGTGAACAGTTTTGTGGGGCATTTTCTTGATTGATGATTGATTTGGGAAGACCCAGCGCACTGTGGGCATGCCATCCCTGGGCAGATGGCCTTGGGCTATGTAAGAAGGCAGACTGAGCAAGCCATGGAAAGCGAGCCAGTGAGCAGCATTTCTCCATGGTCTCTGCTTGAGTCCCTGCCTCGAGTTCCTGCCCTGGCTTCCCTCAGTGATAGACTGTAAGCTGAAACAAACCCTTTCTTCCCCTAGTTGCTTGTGGTCAGTGGTTCATCACAGCTACAGAGAACAAACTAGAACACTCATTATTTCTGGATGTATGAGTATAGAGCACGTCAACACTCACAGTGACATCAAGTTTCTTGGAGAGTCTGCATCCCTTGTTAGCTACCCTTTCTATATGAAGCCACGTGCTGAAGGTTTGTGTGGTAGTTTATTTTCCTCCTTCAGTCTGTTGGTCCTCCCTGGCCCAGAACTGCTCACCTGGAGCCATCCTCCCACCTCAGGCTTCTGAGTAGCTTGGGCTCAGAAGCATCTTACTGCTGTACCCCACTCAAGGGTGGCTTTTAACATTTTTTTTCCTCATTTCAGGTTAGAATCCCCAACCCGGAGTCTAAGCATGGATGCCCCGAGGGGGGTTCACATTAAAGCTCCCACTGGGAAGATGGAGGCCCTTTCTCAAATGGACATCGTCTTGCGGAGTAGTGATGGAGTGGTGAGTGCAGTGATGGAACTGTGTGTGCTGGTGAGGCACCAGAGTGCCGCATCCGCCAGGGCGTCAGGATACAGCCTTCTGCTGGCTTGTACTGAAACATGACGAAAGGGATAGCATGGCCAGTGTGGGAAGGACTGAGTCAGATAAGGACTGGGGAAGGGCACAGAAGATTAGATTCACACCATAGTGAGCTCACTTTCATACACTGGCATCTGCAGCACCAAGTCACTCATTATTTTCAGCTGTGAAAAAGCGCTGCAGACTTTCTGGACATGCAGACACCAATTTTTGCATTTCCTAGTGACTCAGTGTTTCAGAGCATGGCTATGATTGGGGTTATACACAAATGACAACTGGCCCCTGTTGTTGCCCAGAGCACTATGCTTGCTTGCACAGAATTTAGTGCAAAATAAAATGAACGAAGAAAAACAAGTATTTTTCCAAAGGTCAACTACAGTAAGGTTCCTTTCTGGGGCTCAAGTCCAGAATGACAGTATAGCAGATCCACCCTACACCATGATTTGTAGAACTTTATTAATAATAGAAGGCAAAGGCTCAGCTTCAGTCAGTGGGGAAACCAGGCATTCCAGGCTACCTAAAGAGTCCACAGTGAGGTGACAGGTTGGAGCAGAAGCTGACTGTAGTCATTAAAGTGCATATTGCACAGATTGGGAGCTTGCTTCTATGTTCAAATAATGCATAGGTTCAGGAAGTCTCTTAAACAGAGGCTCCAGAATGTCCTTTTGATGTGTAGGTAGAGCTGTGTGCACTTGTGCTCCTGATTCCTGGGTGTGTGTGTGGAGTGTTGTCCTAAGTCACTAGCACAGTGGGGGTGCATGGTTAAGCTCTCTCTCCCCAGCTCTGCCCCAGGCTTGCCCCAGGGACAGTCAGCAGAAACGGTAAAACACAGTACAAGGAGTGCAGGGCACAAGAAAACCCGGAAGCCTGGGCCCTATGGGTCACCAGTCCTCCAATTCAAATAGGGATTTGAGTTCTGGAAAGTTTGCCAGCCCTCTGTACCTGTCTCCTCATTAGACAAATGTGGGAACTGTTTGCTTAATGGTGTCTGTGGTCTGAAGGCACTAGTGCAGCATTTTGAAATGACGTTCATTTAAGATGAACAGGAAAATGTAGTTAGGATGAACCTAAAGATGGTCATGAGAAGCCACTCTGGGTATATGGACAGAAGCCAGTCAATGATCACCCACAGGGAAGACATGAAAGTCATCTACAAACTGAAACTTAGGAGCTTGTGAGACCCAGAGCTGGCAAAGTCAGAGATGAAGTCAGGGATTTTGAAATCTTAATATGGAGACACGGTGTCACCACACACTGCACAAAGCTTCAGTTGCTAAGGAGACACAGTGTCACCACACACTGCACTAAGGTTCAGTTACTATGGAGACACAATGTCACCACACACTGCACAAAGCTTGAGTTGCTATGGAGACACAGTGTCACCACATGCTGCATAAAGGTTTAGTTTTTAAATGGTCATATTTCCTTCTGTGAATCAGGCAGCATTTTTGCAGGCAGCACACAGTGGGACCTCTAATTCCAGTTGCTGTTCCCCATGAGTAGGAGCTGGACAGAGGGAGGACAGATGTCTGGAGTCCAGCCTAACATGGCGAACAGAGAAACAGTGTGGGCTGTGAGTGGAGAAAAAGAAACGACTGGACCAATTAACCTACTAACTACAAGACAGGAGAGGGCAGAGAGGCCGGGGTAACAGCCCCCCAGGAAGAGCAAGCACTCGAAGATCCCCTGGCATGGCCCGGTGCCCGCTGGGTTGCCTCTGCTCTGCTGCTCTGCAAGGCCACACAGTGCAAGGCGTCTGTCATGCAGCTAGCAGTGCTCTGACAGCCCATTAGGAGATGGGAATTCTAGACGAGAGCTATAGGAATCAAAGAGAGCGCTAAGCTGGCTGACAATGAAGACACTATGCCAACCTACAAAGCACCGAAACTTCTTTTTAACGATTGAGTGTGGGGAGGAAGGGGCAAGCGGCTCAAGGCGACTGTTCTCATGTCCTTAGCAGAGTGGTTCCCCTGCCTCATCAATGGCTCTTTCTTAGGCTCCTATTTAACAAACCCGGTGGTTTCCATGGTGCTTGCCCTGGCTTCAGTCTTCAGGTCTACTACATTCAGCACTTGGTAGAAGACAGAAAGGTTTCAAATAATGGTAAGAGTTTAGGGAAATGGCTGGCAGCTAGTAAGGTGAATTCAGTTGTCTCTCCTAGGAAAACAAATCACAGATAAAGTCAGGATAAAGTCGGACATCCACAAGCAAAAATAAAGATGATCCCATTTCTATGGACTGTTTGTTATCCCAATGGGAAGGAGATGATTTAGCATAAGCTCCACTCGATCACAGTATGAATTGGCATAACAATTCTGTCAGTTTTATCAGATAAGTTCAAAAGCCATTTTTTTTTAGGAGTGTGTAGTTGGTTGTTTTTACTCTTTGCTCTTGGGGGCCCTCCACCCAGCTCCCAAATAAATACATGGAATCTTATTCTGACTTATGAATGCCCGGCCTTAATTTGGCTTGTTTCTAGCCAGCTTTTCTTAAATTAGCCCATCTGCCTTTTGGTTCTAGGCTTTTTTTTTTTTTTTTTTTTTTTTTTTTTTTTTTTTTGGTTTTTCGAGACAGGGTTTCTCTGTGTAGCTTTGCGCCTTTCCTGGAACTCACTCGGTAGCCCAGGCTGGCCTCGAACTCACAGAGATCCGCCTGGCTCTGCCTCCCGAGTGCTGGGATTAAAGGCGTGCGCCACCACCGCCCGGCTGGTTCTAGGCTTTTATCTTTATCTATTCTATATACCTTTCTTTACTTCTTACTCTGTGACTGGCCTCTAATGTCTTCCTCCTCCTCCTCCTCTTCTCGCTCCTCATCTCTTCCCAGATTTCTCCTCTTATTTATTCTCTTCATCTGCCAGCCCTGCACATCCTTTCTCCTGCCCAGCTATTGGCCATTCAGTTCTTTATTAGACCATCAGACAAAGTATCACAGCTTTACAGAGTTAAACAAATGCAACATAAAAGAATGCAACACATCTTTGCATCATTAAACAATTATTCCACAACATCAATGAGTATATCTTCAATTATACTCCACAACAGGAGGGAAGCAACCCAGAATTGAAAAGCAATGTAGTTTGCTGAACCAATTGTAAAACAACTGGGGAGTAGAGGAAAATATGGTCTCTCTCCACATTGGAGGAGCATGTCAGTCCAGCCTGCACAAAGAATGGAAGAGGTCATTTTGGGAGGACTCAAGTACAGGCAGGATCCAGCTGCTCGGTACCCAGCCTGCTTTCAACGGGAGGAAACTATCTTTCTTAGAATACGCTGGGAATTTCCCTTGGTGCCGCCTGTTCCTCCTTCCTCATGTCTCACTTTCTCCCAAACAGCTGGTGCTTGATGCTGAAACTGTGGCTTTGCCCAAGCTGAAGCAGGGGACACCGGGTCCCTCTGGCAGCTCTACGGGGTCCTTTGAGATTTGTGTGTGTCCTGATGGGAAGCTGTACCTGTCTACGGCTGGTGAGGCCACCACCTGCGAGGAACACAGCCACATCTGTCTCTGACCGCTACCTCTTCTGCAGAGCACGAAGTCATCTTGATGAGCCGAGAGCTGTGGCCTCAGCCTTCGTGTCCATGGCAGCTGGATGGGAGCTGGAGGCTCATTGCTAAAGCACTTAGACGCATGAAGGGGATGGGGGGGGGGGGGGTGTGTGCCGACGGAACTGTTGGGCCCAAACTGCCTGGTTTCAGAATGGCACAAAGAAATGTCAAGAACTTACTCACTGGATTTTCATCTTTCTAGCCTCCCTCCACGTCTCCCATGTTGAACTGCTGTCTGGAAGCAGCAGTTTATAGTGCTCAGCTATCTCTTCACATACATACAGCTGGCTGGTGGATTCTGAAGTGCCCCAACTCTGCACAGCCCTTCCTTAACCTTAAACCTCGAATGCTCCCTTCAGCCAAGTATAGTGTGTGAGGTTTTACCAAGAGATCTCCAGGGTTTGAAGGAAATTTGAGATTGATGGATTTTCAATAGATAGTTAAGGAAAGAAACCACACAAAATTAGTCATGCTTTTTATATACATACCAGCGAGCAATAAAAATGACATTTTTTTTCAGACCAGAGTTTAAAAGTGTCTTACTTTCTTTAATCTCACAACTCTCCAGGGTAGGTATTAATTTTCCTCATGTTACTTGTGACAAAGACTCAGGCCAGTCAGTCATAAGGTAACTTATAAGTCACGGGGGTCCCAGGTAACTACTGAGATGAACTCAAAATGTGACCCTAAATTGGTATGGCCATTTTCACTTGGAGAACTGATATACTCACTCCACCCCAAACTCCAACTACGGAAGCTGTATGCATAGATGTTAATTTGACAGATTTAGAAGGTGCCAAGGGCTTTTGTCTCCAGGATCAAAGGGAATGATAAGCCTCTACCTTCCAAGCCTAGTGCTGGTGCTGACTTCCACAAACAGGGGAGGCTGGGTGCAGCGGCATGGGAGCAGTCATGCAACTTCTACAAAGGAGGCTGGGTGCAGCGGCATGGGAGCAGTCATGCAACTTCTACAAAGGAGGCTGGGTGCAGCGGCATGGGAGCAGTCATGCAGTGTGTGAATGCATACAGTGCCCATTGTTGCATAGGTTGATAAAAACAAAAAAACACAGCACATACCTAGGTTTTTATGGAGGCCATTCACTGACAATGTCCATCATGGGAATTGAGAAATGGCTCAGTGGTTAAGAGCACACACTCCTCTTGCAGAGGACTAAGTTTATAGAAAGCGGTTCACAACTGTCTGTGACTGCAGGTCCAGGGGTACCTGCCACCTCTGGCCCCCACCAGCACCCACTCACATGCTCATACTTCAACACAGACACATCCAAGTACATATAATTTAAAAAGTGTTAAGGTCTTTTTAAAATGCCCACCGTTTAAAAAAAAACCAAGGTGACGGAAGTTGCTTGCTTGTTTTTAACAGTCTTAGAAGAATCTTTGACAGTTTAAGATGGAGTGAGACCAGCTGTCCTGCAGCTTCCTGACCACAGATCTGGAACACTAACACAAGCCAAATGGGCCTTCTCATCTCAGAGCAGGAGAAGGAAGAAAACCGAACTCGTTTTAATGCTGTTTTAATAAGGTGTTTATCTAATGTTCTCTTCCAAATCCCTTTTTAAGGGCTAGCATACACCACACAGGAAACCTCAAAGTAAAAATACAGTGCTTCCTAGCAATTTGAGAGCGAACACCTGCATGCACAGTGCTCCTGGATCACAGGGGTGGGCATTTTCATTTGGGTTAAATCTTGATTTTTTTTTTTTTTATCTCTGATTTCTGTGGCGTGTCTCTTGTCAAGGTCAATCAGTCAGCTGTTCTGTTGTTATTTACTCTGGTCCCATGTCCCATGCTTGTGCCTAAGCAATGTCTTCAAGCCCACATGACCTAACAGGACCACATTTATAAGTGAACTTTTCTCTATACAAGTCCACAAAGGCTCCAGTGGTAAAGTGAGGTCGAAGAGAAAGCAGGAGGATGCAAGATAGATATGGGGAGGTGGCTCAGAGGACTGGAGTCCAGATTCCCAGAACCCACTAAATGACAGGTGGATGTGGCCATCCACCTGAAACACCAACCTTAGAATGCCCAGAAGCTGGCTAGTGAGACTAGCCCTACCAGAGAGCTCTGGGGGTTAACTGAGAGACCCTGCCTCAAAAAGTACAGCGGCAGAACAATCAAGGAAGATTCTTGACATTAAAACCTCGAGCCTCTACAGGCAGATGCACATGTACTTGTCTACACACACACACACACACACACACACACACACACACACACACACACACACACACACTAAAAGGTATGAATAAAATGTTTAATTTTTTGTGTGGCTTGGCTTTGTAGACTCATTGGAAGATCCTGTGCATAGAGTCCATTCTCCAGAGTGATAAGTACTTTATCCTTTGTTAGGATAAAAAATAAATAAATAAAAAAACAACTTTAGATAGACCCTAATATAAAATTATAGATACATGTAATTTACAAATTTCTCACATTCAAGAACACACCTATGCTTACAAGGTCTAATACTTGCTCCTGGGTTTGTTTCTTTTTTTCAACTTGACACAAGATAGCATTACTTTAGAAGAAAGTATCAGACCTGAGAAAATCCTTTCATAAGATTGGCCTGGGAGCAGAAAGATTGTAAGAGCCAGAGATCAGGGAGTTTGCTATGAGACTGAAAGAAAGTATGAATTTGAGAGGTAGCAGGGAGGGGTATTGTGAGGGTTCATAGGGAGGAGAGGGAAGGAGAAATGATGTAATTATAATCTCAAAAGTAAAAGAAAAAATACTGGCTTGTAGCAGGCCTGAAGGGCATTTTTACATTAGTGACTGATATGGGAGGGCTCAGGCCATTATGGGTGTTGCTCTTCCTTTTATTTACTAGTGGTCCTAGCTTGTAAGAAAGAAATCTGAGAAGACACGGAAGGCAAACCAATAAGCAGTATTCCTCCATGGTCTCTGCATCAGCTCCTGCTTCCGGGTTCCTGCCTTGAGTTCCTGCCCTGACTTCCCTTCATGATAGGTTATGATGGGGAAATGTAAACTGAAATAAACCTTTTCCTCCATGAATTGCTTTTGGTCATGGTGTTTCATCACCACATTAGAAACTGGGATGGAAATTGGTACCAGAAAGTGGGCTATTTTTGTGATAGGCCAGACCATGTGTTTTGGGAAGGCTGTGAAAGGACTTTGGAATTTAGGACTGGAAAAGCCACTGCGTGTTCAGAGCTTAATGAGCTGTGGTGGGAACTTGGAGGTTGACACTGAACGCAGTGAGGACGATGGAGGCCTGGCTTGTGAGGCTTCAGAGGGAGCCTGAGAGTCCCTTAAAGACCCTATCAGGGCTGATCATGTGATTTTAAATTAAAAACCACTAAAATGAAAACTGCTTTGCTGGGACAATTGAAACTGGTCATCTGGGACTGAAGAATCAGCCGTGATTAGGAAGAGACCAGCATCACTGAGGCAAAATCTGGAAGAATCTTGCTCTGCTCCAGATCACAGCTTGTGTGTGTGCTGACACTGAGAAAACATTTCCTAGAAGATTCTGTGTCAAGTATGCCTCACTGTCTGTCTCTGCCTCTGCCTCTGCCTGTCTCTCCCTTAAATCAAGGCCAGCAAACAAACAGAATCTGTGATCCAGAGGGGGCCAGGCTGTACCTGTGCTGGCAGCTGAACTTGGTAATGTGTAAGAGTCTCCCAGGTCTCTTCTCCAAGGCATGAGGAGGATACAGAGAATAGATGCGGCTTGGTACCAGGAGAGGCCATTGGTGAAGGTGCATCCTCGATTGCAGTAGAAGTCCCAGTATTTAAGGGGTCATAGAGAGAAGTTGAAGTTTGGCACTATGTGGCAGGGGCAGGGTCCCTGAGGAGAGCCCAGCAGAGGCTACTGATGAAAGAAGGTACAGTTCAATTGTAGCAGAGACCCCAGAATTTTGGAGATGCCAGTACCATGAGACAGCCACCAAGGACAGCAGCTTATGTGGAGTGGGGCCAGGCTGAGCCTAGAAGACAAGTCACATGTGTTGTGGATGGCAGAGCCAAGAAGACAGTTACACAGGCAGTGGTTTTATAACCCAATGAACACAACAGAATTCAGGCTCTACCTCCCATAGCATCCTGTTTAACGGGCACTATGGTGGTTTGAATAAGAATGGCCCCCATAGGCTCATACATTTGAATGCTTGGTCATCAGAGAGTGGCACTGCTTGAGAAGGATTAGGAAATGTGGCCTTGCTAGAGGAAGTGTGTCTCTGGGGGTGGGCTTTGGGGTTTCAAATGCCCAAGCTAGCCCCAGTGGCTCTCTTCCTGCTTCCTGTGGGATACAGGATGTAGAATTCTCAGCTACTTCTGCATCATGTCTGCTTGCATACTGCCAACTTCCTGCCATGATGAGAATGGACTAAACCTCTGAAACTGTAGCCAGCCCCAATTAAATGTTTTCCTTTATAAAAGTGGCTATGGTCATGGTGTCTCTTCACAGCAATAGAACCCTAAGACAGAAGTCATTGACTAAGACAGACATACAGTTTTCTGAAAGCTGCCAAGTTCTTATGATAGTGCAGAGCTATGCTGGCTGAGCCCTCCCTCAATCCACCCATCGGCTGTCTTGAAGGCAGAATGCCCAACGTATGGTTTTCAGTGTATCTGTTTTGTGTGGGTTTTGTCCCTTCCCTGACTTAAATAACAGTGGGTCTAGGCTGGCTTCAGTCACCCCCTACATGTTTTAAATTTCACTATCTACATTCTTATAGCTTGGAACACAATGAACTTTGCATCAAGTATAAACCAACAATTTAAATAGTGTGAGCACTGTGTATGAAAAGCACACTGTTAACAGAGTAGAGCACAAGTTCATTTCTGGCTTCTTAGAGGCTATGGCTTGTGGTATCCTCTTTTCCCTCACAGTCCACTGGCCACCAGTCCACAAGGACAAAGGGGCAGAAGAGGCAAGAGAGAACTTTGTATGGACTGAACATGGGTGGAAATAGCCTTCCAGGAGATAGCTTCAGGGAGACAGCTCAACTTTATTCCAGAGTGAGGAGATATAAAAAAGGATGGGGACAGAGGCTGGGGCATCACCTAATTTGCATTAAACAGCAAGTTCCTATCATGAGGCTCCTAGCTCATGTC